GAAACAGGCCTGTTTCCAGCTTCCGGAGGACCTCCAGAGCCTGGGGGAGGCAGTTTTCACCCTCCCAGAGGCTCGAGGAAAGCCTCCAGAGCCTGGGGATGGCGGAACCTCCCCCCCGCCACAATGGTGCAGGAGGCCGACTAGGCCACATCCACCATGACCACGTCCACCCAGCAACTGGGCAGGGAAGCCGTTGCTGAAATTTCTGAAGCCCTCCCCTGGTTGAAGGCCTCCCATCTTATTGTCCAAGGTTAAGAAACACTGCAATAAGCTTAGCAGTTACATGTTGATCAGTTTTCCTACGACCCGCTCCTATATGCAACTCCACAGGGCTTTGCTTTTGTTTGAACTCAGGAATTTTTAAGAAGCAGATCTGGAATGTGTTTAGGGGTGGGAGGGAGAAGAGGCTGTCAGCAAATACACTGTGAAAACATTTTCAGCATATTACAGGCCTGTAGTCATAAATCAGGCAGAAGGAGAATAATCCAAATCCTATTAGAGTCAAGTGAAGGAAACAAGTATTGATTTCCATGGTTCTGGTTTGCTTCCATAATCTTCTGATGAAATATGATTTGGAAACAAACATGCATAACAGAAACACTAATTTACATTCTGCAGTTCATCTTTAAAAGTGGTAATAAACTTTCTATCCTCTACAGGCCAATAGTTCTGAGTCGTCCCTTTAATATTGCAAAGTTTAAAGTGGTTTAGACTCTAACTCAGAAATCTGACCTTATAATGCAATTTTTCTTGAATGAAAAACTCAAGTGGTCTATAAACCAGTTCACAGGCAGTAAACAAGTATCAAACCTTTCCACAGATCTAGCAATAATTCCTCACACCCCGCCCCCAAGTCAACATATCAATCTGATTATTCTTTTTGTAGGCAAATAATATTATGATCATCAAACAAATCAACCCAGAGTTCTCACTAGCAGCATACATGACTATGCTCAAATTATTCTACTTTGGACACATTATGCAAAGCCATAGCTCCCTAGAGAAGGCTCTCATGCTGAGAAATATGAAAGGAAAGAGAAGAATAAGCACCAAGCTGGATGGACCCAGCCAAAGCAGCCATGGGTACAACCTTTGGAAGATCTGAAAGACCAGGTTAGGAACAGATCATCATGAAAAAATTAACCAACAGTGGTGTTGAAGCACAACAAAGGAATAAAAAATAGAAGCCAAAGAAATTAATGTTACCAGAAAAGAAAATATAGCTAAATCTAGTTGACAGTAACACCACTCACTGTACTTCTCCACTAGAGTCATGCAGTTATTTGGATCTGAAGAAGAAGAAAAAAAATCTGTTTTGAAGCCAGCATTGGCACTCTCTTTGGCTCTTAAAGGAGTTATATCTTTTCCTGGGTTCCCATTGACAGTTGGGTGGGCTCAAAAAAAAAATTACACATTTCGTAAAGTGTTATATATGTGCTGCCCTGCTGAGCTCTCCTTTTAATGCTCTTTTAGCCTCTCCTGTAAATGAAACATGTATTTGGAGTTAGCTTGCTTTGCAATTTCCAAAATTCTCAGCAATTGGGATGCTAGCTAGGGAATTCTGGACTTGTATTTGTAACATTTGTATGGCTATCCATCTTACAACAACTCATTAAGAGCTACTCTCTTCACCCGACTAAAAAACCAAGCCATAAAATATAAAAAGCAACCCTTGTCTCAATCATCCCTTTGGGATGCTATAACAACAATACTACCTCAGCACCTAAGGTAAAAGCCGTGTTTTTTTAATAGCCTCTCAGAAGAGGGTAGAGACTTCCTTTATCACTAAGTGATGGGTGTTCCATAAGGTGATGGCATCCATGGAAAAAGCACACTTCCAATGTGCCAAATAGACGGCAAGATTTCAAGGAAGGGAACTGGAGCGTGATTGATGGGACAGGCAGATACGTTGAGGTGGTCCTGCGGATAACTTGGTCCCATCCCATATAAGGTTTTAAAGATAATACCAACACCTTAAATTGCACCTGGAAGGAACCTGGGAACCCCTGTTATCATTCATATAACAGAGGTGTAACATGGGCAAATCCAGGAGCATCCAACACTGCATGCACTGATACAATCTGGACCAATTGTAGCTTTCAAATGGCCTTCAAGGGCAGCACTTTGTAATCATCCAAACAGGTGACATCTTAAATGTCACACACCTTGAGTTGTC